TCGACTGACGGAAAGAGCAATAAAAGTTAATGATCGAGACAATCATGTATTATAGACCAACGTCACAGTAAAACATTAGTGTGAGAAAAATATTAGAATAAAACCTGAGGATTGCAGGAGCATTCGACATCGAGCCGAAAATGTAAATTGTTCACAGAGAACGAGAATTATCTTTGCATCAGAAACAATATTAGGACACACACAAGGACGCCCTTCATATCCAGGCTTCAGCGCTCTATCTTTTCATTTCACTTCACGATTACCAATATATTATCCAACCACCCTCACATTCTCGATTCAATTGAGGATGTCCTACTTTGATCAATGAGGCATCCCAAATTGCACATGTTGTACCTGAACATCAATGTAACCAAATAGTCCTTGACAACTCAACTCATCAACAAATAAATCATCTCTTTAATCACGTTGATTTCTCATTGGAATCGACATCGCAACTACGTCATATCCATTTTCACAAGCTTCTACATTTTTACTACATCGGCAGATTCTATATACTCCATCTCATGGTTCAACAATACTCCAAAGAAGCTCAACCATACCCCGTGTTATTTTCCAACATTTCAACAACTTCAATTTGCCCTTTTAATCTTCGAAATTCACATTGACGCACGTCTCATTAGTAGGTACCTGTTTCAAAAAGTTTAACTTTGCAAAATTGAATCCGGGGGTTGTGTGGAAACGGAGGGACGTCAGCGGTAAAAAACAAGAAGAGGAGGAAAAACTTGTCAACGAAGACAGGAAATTGGCGTATCAAATGATGCAACCCAAATTGCTCATGTTGTACCTGAGCATCAATGTAACCAAATAGTCTTTGACAACTCAACTTACTAACAAATACATCATCCCTTTCGAGTCGTAAAAATGTCTCGATGGAAAAAGTTGTAGCAAAAGATGGAATTCTGCTGACTTTTTGTGGAATTCTTCGGTAGAATCGGCAAAAAATTGATAGAATTTTCAACAGAAGTTCCACTGAAATCCAATATATTTTGGTCGTGACTATTCGCACCATTGCGTGAATCACTCCCGTACACTCCATACACTCCACGCATGCGTGAAGTTTGTGTGTTTCACGCAGCCGAATTTTCATACTGCTGTGTATTTCACGCAGTTGAAGTTTCATACTACTGTGTGTTTCACGCAGTTG